AGGTAGTCTAAAACTGATTAGAAATGCCTTTATTTCCTGATTTGTTGGGTTAGATAAATGTTTGTTGCAAATATGAGCTTCTTGCCTTTTCTGAGCTGACACTGCGTTGAGGAAATTTTGGCCTTATCGGTAATGGTAGAGGCAGTGGTACAATCAACTAGCTATCGCGACAGTTGTATTTCTCCTAAAAGCATCAGTTTGGGTAGGACGACATGATAGCGGAAACGTCTTTGTAGATCAAATGATATCTAGGTTACCGTCTTTGGCTTTAGAGAACTTATGAAAGTTATTATTTCACACAAGATAGCTAAGAGAGCTGATATTACTGGGGACTGATGATTGCTGATCGCAACGGACAGACTTTATGACAGCCCATCTACCAATATGACCTGATCTTGTCTGTTGTGATAATCATATGGCTATCGGTTATCTCAATGTAAACTCCCGCTATCAACCTTCAATGAGCGCCGTGTTCTGTCCTTTTATCTACACATAAAAGTATTAAGTTGAACATTTGTTCTTTCCGTCATAACTGCTCGGTACATTTCTGCACTTCCTTGAAGGACATTTTTTTATTGTAATCTCTGTGATACCATAATATTTCCTTTACTTATCAGAAGCAGTAAAAATCTATGCAAAGCCACGTACGTTTTAACTATAGTAGGGCTTAGACTCTGTGTTGTCAGTATTGATAGTGAGAAATAACATTTGTAGGCAAATATAAATCTATAACCATAGTGAAGCTATGTGCGAGTTTAGGCCTTCAAATCCAGAGTGGGTTGGAAGTTAACTGATTTTGCCCGTGAAAATGGCATGCATTCCATGTAAACCTACCCGTACATGCGAGATATAAATTATTATTAATCGCGGGACATGATTCGTAAGCTGTACTATTGTAGATATCCCTAGTAAAATCCCCTGCCACTCTTCGGTCTAAGCTTGTTTAGCTTCTGCGTTAAATCAAGAGGGGAAGTATTCCACCAACCTGTTTAGAATTAATAGACCTATTAGATTTATGTACTTCGCTGAAGTTTTCAGCTAACAAGACAACGCTCGGGCTGCTTAATTGTCATTCTGTATGACATTTGTTAGGAACTGGCACAGCATCCATAGGGTCACTTCGAATGTTTACGAATCGTTGATCATTCAACGCTATATCAAAGAAACAGGTGTAATGTAGAGATGTGGGGTAGAAAACTACATGCTGTAATGTCGCAAGCAGTAATTTTCAGCAGGAGAAATAGTATGGGTACTATCCTAAGCGCAGGATAGATAATTCATGCAATAAGACCAATGCTGTATATGAAAATAAAGGGTAATGTTTAAAAATAATTTTAAGTATCGCCACAAAAGTAAGAATACGAAAGCTTGCAAACAACAAATTTACAAAAATGGGGAAACTGCTCGGCAAAGTTTCGTCCTTCAGTTTCTAGGCATTGAAATTAAATTGAGGTCTATCCTCAGCCTCTTTGAGAGCTTATTTAGTAGCCCGCTATAATATTAAAATGAACACAAAGTTACTGACCGATATCACGTATAGTGATAGAAGTTGGTTGTGAACATATGTTTTATTAGCACGCCAATGCTGCGCGAGTCAAGCGTGGGAAATCTACTCATACATACAGAAGGGCATTCATCATTCACTTGGGGAAAAAGGCTTTACAAATCAAAAAGATGTAAATCCTATTTGTCTCCTTCTTACGTCTTCCCTATTCATCGACCGCCTCTGAGTGCTAGTAGTGTTATATAGGTCCTGCACTACAACACATTACATTATCGAACACAGAGCTATAATATGGTAATCATTTCCTTACCTCAACTTTTACAATTCTGAAAAGGCTTTAGATGGAATCAACAGTGAAATAATCTAGGGACGGCTTAAACAGCATGCAGTGCGCCACACCATCAACAACTTTACTCAACAGATAAATGATGATACCACATCGTAAGTTATTGACAGCAGACCGCTCAGTGAAGCTTTTGAAATGAAGACAGGAGTAAGATTGCCTTGCATCAACTATGATATTATTAATTTTAGTAGAATTGATAGTGCAACAGGTCTTGAGGTGCGATAAGTGGGATATATAATGATACGACAAAAAATTTCAAGATTTGAACTTCGCGCATGACTTGCTCCCAACGTTGCGAAACCTAGAAGGTTTACAGGCAAATAACAATAAACCAGCAGAACAGGCATTGAAAACAGAAATTCAGGTGTACATAGAGAGACAGATATGATAGATATAACCTACAAATGACAACAAAAGCACCCACAGCCATCAACGGGAAAAATCTTAGCGAAGTCACTTCATTCACCTACATAGTTCTGTTTCTTTTGTTTGCCTTCCGTGATAAAACAATGTACTGATTGGGAACCATTTCAATGAACACATAACGAGTGAGGAATTGCACTGGATCAATCAACCAAAAATAGTCCTCTATTTCTTAACGTATAACGAGGATTGACGCAAAGTAGTGGTCGTTAACACTGCAGTGATACAGTATTACAGACATTTCTTCTAGGAATGACTAACAAATTTGGTTGAACGCTGTGTTCTGCATTACTGTCCCCATAATTTTATGACGTGACGCAACGAATTCTGACTAATTCGAAAATTCTCTTCATACATTTGCTGTTTCTTCACGCGAAAAGTCCCAGTGCTAAATAATCCAAGATCCATACTGTCTGTACTTGGTCGATGTCACGTTGCACTACGAAGATTTCGCTGTCGTCTTTCCTGCCTTAAAATTAACAAGCTTTTAAAGACAACTTAACAGATTCACTTCCGCGCATAAAAATACAATGACTTCATTTGTATTCACGCCAAATATTGGTTTGGCGCCGGATACTTCAGGAAAAATATATTATGAATTGCTAGTTCTTTTGTGATGAAAGGTTTCATACATTCCTGACGAGTAATCACAACTTTCAAATATCGTCATACCTTGCTGACAACGACCTTATAGTATACATTGACCATAACCGGCAGATCGGGTATCACAAGCTATATGCTTAACAAAAGCTCTCACGGGTGTATCACAGTCAACTACGCATAGTCTAACATGAACCCTGACATTAACACGTCGGTTGAGCAGTGTGCAGAGGCGACAACTCTGAATATTTGTCATCAGCAAACTCATTTGAGTCAACAGGTTTCTTGATGTGCCCACATATACCCACAATGAAAACACTTCAATTGGGATAAACTAAACTACCTGGAATAAGCCATAGCTGTTGATTCGAACTATCAAAGTGACATAACCTATCGAAGTTCATTTACAACTTGAGAGTGCCAAAAGCATATGCATAAGTGTAAAGCTCAGCAGGAAAATTTACTACTGCATCTTACAGATATATATGTAAATAATCACACTTCAAACTGCTGTAAATGTATTGTGCAGTTGACTATGATCGTCCAAACTATCCTTTTTAGATTTGCGGTGGACAATGCGGTTAATTATACATTATCGAGGTTGACGAGGACGGTGTCAATAACGACACCCTGTGATTTCGAAACTTACACCTCGGAAATCTTACGGAGAATTCTTAACAACGCAGGAACAAAAGTGGCATTCAAACCCAATTAGAAGCAAACCTTGTCGGTTAAAGTATCCTGTGGAGCCAATCAAACAAAACAATCTAGTTTATCGAATACCCTGCAATGATTGTCGGGTCAAATACATAGGTCAAAGTATTAGAACAGGGGCAGTCAGACTAATGGAGCACAAAATCTTAGCAAAATCTAAATTAGTCGACCCGAATAAGATAAGAAATCTGGAGAATAGTTCAGCTATAGCACTCACTACATGCAATTACACACAACCATATACTAGGATGGGGTAAGATGACAGCTTTAAAATCTAATACAACAGGGTAAAGGGAGAGATTGATAACGGACGCTTCATTTATCGAATCAACTGCAAACGCGTGTAATAGGAATGATTCAACACCTGCCCCAGAAACCTGGAAAATTCTATCCCCTAAGACGAATAGAGAAGAATACAGGAAACTATAAAACGAAAGTTTCGAAGTTGAGCGGTTATAAGTGACATGATTGTGAACAATAAATTGTGTTCGAAACGTCTTCCAATAAACAGTGTTGTTTCAATGTATGATACATCTAATAAACTAACTAATTTAGAATTACATGACAGCACAGTGCCCAGGTTTTACACACATATTCTAAAACTTGGTAGTAATGATATCGATCATATGACGAATATAAGTGAGAGTGGTACACATCTGTTAAAGCTGAGGAAATTAGTCGCATTACAATTTCAAAATAGGGCATTCGGGATATTAGTGCATATGAATTCCATGAGAGAAATGGTTTAATCAGCAAGCAGTCAACTAGAATCACAGGCCATTAATGAAACAACGAAATCGCCATTTTTCGTAATACTTAACTAGTCGGCCCTTAGAAGCAACTAATCTGATATTAGATGATTCGGAAACAATTATTATTATTATTGTATCCTTTAATTCCTACAGGAACATAGGGCTTCAGCCGTGCGTCTCCATTGCGTTCTGTTCTCTGCTAGAGTCTTCACCTGGCTCCATGTCTGCCCACACGTTTTCATCTCCTCTTCATAAGACCTCCTCCAAGTCACCATCGGACGACCAACTCGCCGCTTCCCTTTCGGGAAACAAAGTGAAATCTATATCGAAAGTAGCGATAGACGAAGATATTTTAAACCAATTTCTTACCTTTTAAAGTCAAATAACAGTGACTAAGGTCATCATAGGAAGATCAAAAGAAAGAGAAATAACATGATAAATTAAGTGTCCAGAAATATGGTTTTAAAAAGCACATTAGTGCTACATCTATGAATACGAATAGTTTTTTTTTAATTGCCTAACTACGTTAAATTGCTGAAATCCCTGAATAGTACTTCGGGTAACTTTTGTTTTTGTTCGTTGGGAGACAGTTGAGACATTCATTTCTCCCTTGTTTTTGTGCCTAAAATTCTATTCTACGCGATGCGATGCATAAACACTTCTTTTCACCACAACTTTACCAATCTTGTCTAACGCAAGAATACCATTCCCACAATTACTCATATTCATACTTAAGTACTATAATAACGGAAAGTTTCATAAAGAAGTTTATGGTTATAAAAACAAAAAATATCCATCGAACACAAAGATTTATTCACTGTACACATATAAAGACTGAACAACGATTACACTGCACTGAATTAGCACACTTTTAACTTGCTTCCGCATGATATTACCAATTTATACGAGTTGCACTTTATCTAAGTTGCATTCACATCATTTTTTTTTTGTAGTTAAGTTGGTAGTTTATGAACTCAAGGATAGGAGTTAAAGTGCCAAGCAAGGTAACACCAATGCGAGATTTATCATCATTAACAAAGTTCAGTGATTGGATGAATGTGTATTATGAAACCAGAGAGATTTATGTTCACTTATTTATCAGAGAAATTGATATAACACTTATAAAAAAATTATATACTTTAAGATTTCATCATTACACAAAGTTATACAGGGAAAAATGTGACGAATTATAATACATATGGAAAAAGAAAAAAAAGGTGTTAAACAGCTAAACTGCCTTCTCTAAAGCTACTGGCTGAAATGAGACAGTTTATAATAGACGGTATCCCTCTATTAGACAACCGTTTAACTTGATCAAATATATGATTGATCTGTTCCAATTGAGGTTTATCAACTAAAAAACCATTGACTGGAATATCATCTTTGGCAATGATATTATTATTATGGTTGTTATTGCTGTTTGAACCACTGGTAACACTTCTACTATAAGCTGATCCAACTACTTCATATGGTGTGTAATTCAACTGACATCCAACTTTAGACTGAAAGAAAGCGACTTGATCACGAGCAATCTGTGACCAACAAGCATCATTACCAATAATGCCAATAGCAGGAGCGCGATGACGTGCTAAAGAATCCCATTCAGCTAAACTATAAGCACAGGAACCATCACCATAAATCACCCACACAGTTGCCTTAAGAATAAGAAAAACAAAAGAAAAGAGAGTAATTATTCAAAATTTATAAGCCAAGGGAATTTCAGACACAATAATAAACTTTGCTCACATTGTATTTTATGATAAGAAATATTGGAAGGAGACAAAAATCGCAATGCACCACTGCCCGAAACATGTTTTCAGTGAATATGTTCAAGTATTCTAGGAACAAGATATGTTCGTTTACCTAAGAATGTTCATATAATCAATAAAATTTCTGACTACAATTCAGTCAGTCACTGCGTCAGCAAAGTCCTAAACACCATCAAATTTACAAATCCTCTTACTTGTCTAAATTCAGGAAAATCTACACTTGTTTGCTACAAAATTTTGGGAAAGAGAGAGGAACACTGCCTAGACTGTTAAGCAGACAGGAGATGTGGTTCACTGGCTTAAGCACTTCACTCTCAGCGAAAAGGTCCCGAGTTTGAGTACTGCTCCCCCTGTTTCAACACGAGCAGCTTGGTAGTACCACAAGCCCTCACACGAAAAAAGTATTTTGCAGGTAACTGAATTCTAACAGTAAACAGATTTCCACGGCTTGGAGTTTATTCACTATCTGAGTCTTTTCTAAATAAGAAGCCTAATCAACCGCTTTTGATAAGGCGATATTTTCCAGACCAATTTTGTGACCGCCTGAGGATAAGAATGAAGAGATGAAATTCACTGAGTAGTTTTCGTTTAATTCCTTGAAAAGAAACCACATTCACTTATATTTTGTTAACAGTCCTAATACAACTATTTTTCCCTAATTATATATATATATATACCATTTGTTCATTAATTTTGACGTAACTCATTGTAAACTTTAATCCCCTATTAAACAAAATAAACAGTTTCTTGAGCCATAATGTTGTAAAACCTGTTGTTAATTGATAAAACTGCACATATAACACCACTCAGTTAATTCTAGCCTAAAACAGGGAAAAACTTACATCTGGTCGGCATAATTTCGCTCCTAAAGCAAATCCTCCACCAACTCCTAATGTTCCAAATGGACCTGGATCTAACCAAGATAACGGTTGTCTTGGGCGTACAATATACGAAGCAGAACCAACAAAATCACCACCATCAGCAATAATAATACTATCCTCAGAAAGATCTGTTGGTAAACCATAGTTTTCTAATTTCCAGAGGACTGTAAGGGGATTGGTATGTTCCCCACCTTCTACTTGACAACTCAACCTGTGGAGAAGTTATTAAATTACATTATTTTTAACACTAAATGAAATTGAAAATAATCAAATTGAAAAACTAACACATGGTTGCCGAGGTGTGATTATCTGTTATCTAAAACATACTTATGATACATCCGTAGAAAGGCTATACATCTAAATACTCACGCTAATACGTTTGTGTACGAAATGTTATAAATACTGAGACCAGAACTAGGCACAAATAAACAACAGAACAAACAACTGAGAACTATTAAAAGAAATAACTTGAATAGCGTGTTAATACAGTGGTTGACCTAAGCTTCAACGTGTAACTTTGCACATAATTGCAACACTTCAAGCCGTCATACTCCATGTAGGTAAACGAAAGAGAGGAGAAAGAGATTCAATAGAACTACAATAAGCGAGAATATAAGTGAGAAGGAACAGTAACATGGAGAAACATGAAGACTCAGTGTATCTAGGAGATTACAAAAAGTGAATGCTTCGACCAGCCCCAACTCTTTTCTGACCTAATCCTACTTCAGCTAATATTGCTTCATGAAGAAGGCTATGTCCAGGTAGGTATGCATAACATGTGTCCTAGCCATCTCAATCGATGTAGTCTCACAACGTGGTCGATTGACTTGCCGCTTTCACATCTAACACTCTACACCTGACTCCAATATTACTCAACACATTATATCACTAATCACGGGTCATAGGAAGCAAACGTCTGTAATTAGAGGCAGCTAGTCTCTTCCGGTCTTTCAGTTTTAACAACAATATCGTGCAGCCATGAAGTACTCCTGATGCATCGTGTATGACGTTAAATGTCTTGCCAAATGGAGTAGATATTTTTAATTGTTCTTTTGAAACAGTTTTGATATAAACAATGAAGCAATCATATCATATCGCTGTCTATCACGCAGTAAGTATGAGTTCTTGCCTTGTGCACAAACCTGTGTATATTTACGGAGATGTGATTTTGTTTTCGTATGTCAAATATTTAAATTTTATTAGTCTGTTATGAAGGAAGAATTTTCTTCTCAATAAATTGTTTTCACGTTCTCACAGTTGTATAATTTATGCTTTGTGTAAACATTTGATAGCTGTACACAAATTCAATGTGCATTTTGCACAATATGTTGTTTCAGCGGGGGGTAAGTACTGAGAAATAGGTTTACATCTAATGATAGTATTACGATTGCATTTTAGAAGTGTATTCTGGGTGTGAACTTTTAATAGTGTTTAAAAATAGGGTTTTAAATTTTGTAATGATACACTTTTTGAGCAATTAGTTGTTACCGTATCAAACTCAAAATGGTACCACAGGACTGGTCTGTACAGACTTCCAGTTTCTAGATTGGGAATGAAGTGGTTGGGCATATCGATGATTCACTTATTTGGGAAGTTGCATCAGCTCGAATGGACTGATTACTGACATAAACAGAGGACTTGGAAGCATTTGTCAACCTACGTCACCTCTGACGTAGACGTGATATCCAAGTATCGACCAAAGTGTGTACCACGCAGCAGTTTGCTTCATCCTTCACTGTGGCTGGGAAGCGTGGTTATCGAAATCGGAAGATAAGAAAAAGCTTTCTATTTTTATCCACATACGTTTGCTTTCTATGACCCGTGATTAGTGATATAATGTGATGAGTAATATTGAGGTCAGGTGTAGAGTGTTAGATGTGAAGGCGGCAAGTCAATCGACTAAGTTGTGAGGCTACATCGATTAACATGGCTAGGACACATGTTACGCATACCTACCTGGACATAGCCTTCTTCATGAAGCAATATTAGCTGAAGTAGGATTAGGTCAGAAAAGAGTTGGGGCTGGTCAAACCAAAATCTGGTATCGATTCATGAAGCCTTTGACTGTTGGTCCGAGCCACATAGGGAGGTGTAAACTGTCCCGTTTGAGTCAACAGGGATGATGATAAGAATGAATGACTTGAAATTGTTAATGGTATGATTCGAAACTGCTCTGAATGGCGTAGATGCATTCACTCTTTGTTGTAATCTCCTAGATACACTGAGTCTTCATGTTTCTCCATGTTACTGTTCCTTCTCACTTATATTCTCGCTTATTGTAGTTCTATTGAATCTCTTTTTCCTCTCTTTCGTTTACCTTAGTGTGCTATATGGAATGTGGCAAGGTCTCACAGTGTTTTACAGTAATATTTACTGATAACGTTTCGAGCACAATTTATTGCTCATAATCATATCAAGGTACTCACAAAACTTTCTAACTTTGTTTATATGATTCCATTACTTTTCACTGCTTGACTCTGTCGGTAGCAGTATTTTCCATATTTCCGGTATGAGTGATGAGTCATTCTTATTGCACTTGTTGAGTGTAGACTCGATGAACAAGGATTCAGTAATTAACCCTCTCCAACCCTGTTGTGCGGTTGTGTGCTAATGCATGCAATGCAATTGCTGACCTTTTTTCTAAATAACTTATCTTCGAGGGGTCAACCATTCTAACCTTAGCTAAATTCTTATGTTCTGACAATCTGACTACCCCTGACCTACTAGTTTGACCTATGTAATTGACCTCACAGTCATTGCAGGGTATTTTGTAAATTATATTATTTTGTGTAATTGGGTCAACTGGGTCCTATTAAGAATCCTACGTAGGATTTCAGATGTCCCCTCCTTAGATGTCAGAACTGTAAGTGCTTTATATTCTCTCTTGTTTAGATTATCATTATTAGATTCCCAACCTACTCCAAAAATATGGTGATGTGTGAATGTCACCTCCGCAGTGTTAAAAATAGAGCATATCTCTAAATTCTTAACACGCATAAGTCAAACTAATGAATCACAGAAATATTGGTAAACGCAGCGAAATTTTGAACTTGTAACCGATTTGGTGAAAGTCAAGAGTCTAGAACAATAAACAAATTCCATAAGCGAACGCTTGAATAAAGGAAGACTACACTTAAATTTCATATATAATGCATAACATGACCGATATTAAGCATGACATTTAATATTTGAGATGTTCCATTAAAAAGATCTTTTATTCACATTTGCAGATTTCGCATAATGCATGTGAATATTTATTGAAAATCTGATGACATATTTTTCAGTCTATTTAAGACAATCAAATTCAGGAGGACAAGTGACTTAAAAACAGTTACAGCAGATGTGAGATGACGGGATTCGCCAGGTGCTTATGCATAATAAACATTTAGAAAAAAAAAAAACTACCACATAGTGCCCCTAAAATCAAAGGAAGACAGCTTACCTAATTTCTTCATCACGCTTTTCTTCACGTGATCTTAAAACTTCTATCCATCCGGTGAAACTATTATCAGTCGAAACTCTTTGATCACTAAGCTCAATAGATAAATTTTTCAGTGTTGTACCCACATCAGCTTGAATGGTTAAATACGGTCTCCAAAAGTAGTCAGAATTCTGTGGAAATAAGTTTGAAAAGTGCACAGATTTATTAATTGGACAAGAATTTTAAAAATATATATAGTCAAAATTCAATGGTCCTTAATTAGTTCCAATTTGATTTTACACAATAAAGCATTTAGTGAACATCAACACATAATTAAAACTTCATGCAATTCTTCCCATTAATAAACTTGAACAAAGCAAGAACAACAATTGTACCAGGATAATATGAGGTCATTTTTTATTATTTCGAGGATTCTTCTCAACTGGTTACAACCTGAACGATAAAAAATATGAATTACATTACATTACAGATTTGAACATACTTTTCCACGATCACAAGGAGTAATTGGTAGGAAGTAAAAGTAAAATTAGTCCGGAATGATTTAACTAATTAAGAGTTACAAACACTGACTATTTATAGAATAATTCAAATGAACTGTGATCAATATTTGACAGTTTATAAATATTTGTAGAATAATTAGGCAATTAGGCTTGGAAACAAAAACAGAGTTTCATATATATATACGTGTGTGTATAGAAACCAGGTTTAGCTAGACAGAGCATAACAAAAAGGTAGATTACGTAACTAAAGAAAATGCTTTATCTACTAGACAATAGAAAAAAAGGAAAAGAAAAGAACAAGAAAGGGTGAATCATGTTTAGATGAGAGAGTAGAGTTTTCTAAACAAGAGAAAGGTGACTCATACAAGTTGTATATTTTGTTGTCACCAGGGCAGTGCAAGATTCACCACTGCCTCTTTCTGCGTACATAGATTTGGTTAAAGTCGTCTGATAGCAATTGCTTCAGCAAAGCGTAGCAAGTTAGGTTTCTTTTGCTTGTTGATTATTCTGAATGACTGCAAGTTGTCTACATTATGACCAGTGTCTAACAGATGACGCGCAATTGCACTGTTTAATACTTGTGGACCTTTCAGTCTCAGGTCCTTTGGTATGTGTTTAGAAATGCGGACAATAACCCTTCTCTCTGTTCCTCCGATGTATGTGCTTTGGCACGTACATGTAAATACTTACTTTACTTTGCTTCGGCCATCTCCTACGGAAGGATGAGCCGGCTTCATGAACATCTCGAATCATCGCTGCCCAGGCGCAGCGATCTGATGAAGAGAGTTTACGAAGTTTCATGGGAATTTGATACGAGTGATGTCCCCAGAACCGCTCGGCCTTTTGTTTGAGAGTGCAGCTCTAGCCTTTACACAACCAAGTGTGACCTACAAGGCAGTAGGAGTGGAGTAGGGAGTTCACTATCCATTGGCAACCGGTGACCGGAGTTCGGTTCATACGCCTTTTTGAATGGGGCCAGACATCCAGGACATCCAACAAGCCCTTTGTCCATACGTCTGCCGGTGAGCTCCAGTGAGCTTCATACGCCAGTCGTTGGAGGTTTGGAATCAGGGTTTAGCCATCTCCCCTAGTCTGTCATCCAATGGACAGTCAACCCGGTGAAGAGCGCCGGGCATCCGCTTTCGCCCTCTCACTTTGGTGAAAAACACCTCCACCACGTGAAGGCAGTGAGTAGGACTTCTTCAGGAGAGGCTATGTAAGACGCCCGGTCATATGGGAGCATTTCAAGAGGTGTGCGGAGGGGTGGCCAACCCGCAGAGCAAGGCACCCACCCCCGACCATCCTGAGGCTTTGGAGGCTAAATTGGTAGACACAGTTGGAGGTAACATGAAAACATGGAAAGCTAACGGATAAATAAATACTAATCATGAAATACAAAATATCATGAACTGAAATTTGAAGTTACCAGATTCAGTATACTATACAATAACAGCAACCTACAGGTGTGCCTTCTGCCTTAAATTACTGTTTTATTCATCTGTGTATATGTGTGTAGAGCCAAAGATAGAAGGAACTAATGATAGTTTTGTAGAGAAAAAAGAATAACTAAACACAAGTACTTGAAATCAATAGAAGTTGATAAGAAGATAATACAGTAAGAAATATAGGCAGAAAAACCTGCTTGTATAAACACTATCCTATATCGTTTTACAAATCACTACGTCGGAATAAGTCAAAATCTTCACTCTCCAACTTTCAGCATCTTGCTGAATTAGAAATTGATGAAATGAATTACAAACTTTCAAAATTTATTGCATGGATAATTAATCTTTAGTATGTCGAATTAAATTCACTGTATTTTGCAGTGATATGGTAAAAAAGACCATAAGTTCCACGGAACAAAAATTAACAAAATCTTTGAAAGACACAAATCATATTTCGAAATTTCTTCAAGATTTTCACAAGCATATAATTAATTTATCTACTTGCACTCTATCCCAACTACAATTGGAAGCATTATCGTATGAATTGAAATACAAAACTATCCTTACGAAAACTATCCTTACAAAATGGAAGTCCAATCACAATATGAAAACCTTTATGATCAAATCTCTGATTTAACCCTTCACTTCACCAGTTTTGTTCCCATCCAGTATAAACGTTCCCTAATGAAACGTTAGTTCTCAAGGGCCCGAAAAATATACACGAGTGACACATAGATGGATGAGCTTTGACATATACATTCAGTTTTATTAACTAATGGTTATCCAGAAAACTTCATCAGTCGTCACAGTAAGGATAGACCACATCTAGAAAAGACAGCTTCTGTACCGAAGAAAGCTATCTTTATTAACCTACGATTCAAGGGTGACCAGATTATGCACTTGACAGCTCAAAGACTTCAGTCAGCCATCAAAATCACATTCTGAGCCGCATCTCTTTCTCTCACATGCTGAACGTTTTCGACCCCTGTACTTACGATTAAAGGACGAAATTCTGTGGACTCTACTTTAAACTGTATCTACAAGTTCATCTGCAGTTGTGGTGACATCTATATAGGCAGAACCAATAGAATGTTCCAATGTCGTCGAAAAGAACATGTTCCAAAATGGTTATTAAAACATGTAGAAAATCCTAATGCAATTAATCTGAACAGAAATCCAGCATCATCCATTGCAAAGCACTTATTAATGTCAGGTCACAAAATCAATATTAATGATTGTTTAACAATTATTTTACGCAACTCTAATTCAAGGTTATTGAAGGTGATGGAAGCACTTTGGATTAATCGCATACATCCTAACCTATGTGTACAAAAAACAATAGGCTTCAACCTTCACCTACCATGGACTACTTTACCTATTTAAATATGATTGGTCATTAGTATGTACTTTTGTATTATACAACTGAATAATTGTCATGCAAATAAGGTATAATTATGTTTCAATGGTTTACACACAATGATAAGTTTTGTTGTTGTTAATATTTCGAGCAAAACTACTGCCCGTGTTCACACCACTGTTGAAATTGTGTTTTTTTAACTCACACATTTATGATTTGTACTCATATGTACTCATAGTTCTTTCTTTTCATTATAATAAAGGTTTTCTTGTATTTCCCAATGAATGAAAAACAAAACGATATTGTTTTTACAAACGTTTCACTATTTAATGCTAACAGCTTTATCAAAGTATTATATATATATATATATATATATATATGCGATTGTACAGTTTGAGAACGATATCGCCGAAAAGGGTAACTCTTCGCTGAACGTCTTTTCTTTTATTCCTTAGAGTTCTGAGAGGAACACAGGGCTTCAAGCTAGAGGCTTGAAGTTTCGGTAGCAGTGGTTTTATTTTTACGAGGTGGAGTTGCTAGCTTCAGGTCCACCCTTCCCACTTTACCAGCTAAGACAGGTTTAGGAGTGAGTCGACTGGGAATCGAACTCCGGACCACTTGCGTGGTTGGTAAGCGTTCTACCGCTGAACCATCGACGCCTACTTAATGTGGAAATCACTTCTTAATTCAACTATAAAACAGTACAATTACTGAATGTTTTAAAGTTTTTAAAATATGACCTAATACCCATTCCCAAATCCTACAACCACATAGTGGAACGGCTGTGCGACAATAATCATGACATATTTAACAGTTGCAAACATATCAGTAATCACCCAGGGTGTATAGATGTCATTTTGCAGAAAAATTAAACAACCAATACCTTCAAACACTTGACACACCCCTTTAGGAAGATAGTGTTGAAGTAGAGCAGCACTGGCTAGCTTGTTCATTTGACATATACATGAAGGGAAACGTAATGAAGACATACAAATATTGTCACTCATATTCCAACCTATCAATAGGTGGATAGTGTTTCTCCAAAAATTGGCAGTAAGAATACAAAACAACAAATAGAGGTTATTGATTTGGAAAGGAATGCGATATCTAGGCGATAAATGCACACGATCACCACCAGTGAATTTCCTACTACCTAACATCAGTTGTTAGTATGCTGAAAGAGCTTGACGTAAAACTTCTCAATAAACCGTAGATTATTCAAACAGAAATAGAACACTGAATAAAGGAGAAAGTAAAAATGTCATGCTGGTAAGCTATCAAAGTTGTGAATGTAGAAATCATTATTATTATTATTCCATTCAAATAACTTACAAGTTCAATATTCTTTCTGTTTCGATTGATGATAACAATTTTAGCTTTACGATTTAACACACGACCATAGTCTAGACGAAAATCACAAATTGCACCTACCAAACATAAAGGGAGGGGAAGACAAAATAATAAGCATGTGGCCAAGGGAAGCAAGGGTTTTAGGGTAATGTGGGAAATGCAAGGGCAATATAGGCAACAAAATTAGTTTTGCGATAATATAGCTTAAACAGTGCATCAGTCATTTTGTGTATTCTGCATCGTCTACTAAAGGTTTTTTTCATAGAAGAATTAGTAATTCGTCAAACGAACCTACATCTATTAATTAAACTGCTTCTATGGAGCCAGTTATATAGACTGTTGCTCTAGGAACTTAGTTTTCCCTGATCGCGAACACCTGGATATATAAAGGTGCGGTAAAATCATGAATAATCCCCACCCAGACATTAATGAAAACAAAACACGTAGTTCAGTGAAGAGTCTCTTTTCGGCGAATTCATTCCCTTAGTTGTACAATCGCAATGATATATACCTATTTTTGTATGTTTGTGTGTACATTAGGTTTGTCCGATAAGAATAAAAATAAGTTCGAGTTATTGTTGTCAAGATATTTCAAAAATGTGATGAGTAATCAAAACTGTAACCAGGGTGGAGGTGAAGATTAGTAATAGGGTAGTGGTGATCTGTCGTCAAAATCATATTTATTAACACATAAAAGAAGTTGAAGAAGCGTGATTAGGATCCACTCACTCACTCTCTCATTAAACTATTCATCTCATTACGTAACTGTAGCACGCTTCTTCAACTTCTTTTATGTGTTAATAAATATGATTTTGACGACAGATCACCACTACCCTATTACTAATCTTCACCTCCACCCTGGTTACAGTTTTGATTACTCATCACATTTTTGAAATATCTTGACAACAATAACTCGAACTTATTTTTATTCTTATCGGACAAACCTAATGTACACACAAACATACAAAAATAATTATGTATAGTTGTGATTGTGCGCCGCAAAGTAGTAAAATCAAACAGCAGTTCGATATTGGACCATCTGGTTAGAACTGGTCAAAAGGCTAGTAGTAAAGAACTTTTTTCTGTCATCTATCGGGTACCAAATAAACTATCGAAAGCCTCCAGATACTGAATACTCCAAACAGCAGAGGCTGTTACAATTTGCTTAAAACAACCGGAGGTCTGTGTGAAAGAGAAACAGGTCCAGCCACTATTGCTACCCTGGCCTGTAAGTTCATAAATTCTGCATTATTTTTCGGTGGCACAGCGGTTAAGAGGCTCGCCGACCATGCACATGGTCCGGGGTTGGATCCCCAGCCGACGCACACCCGATAAAAATGGTCGACCTACTAAATTTGGGCTACCGATATCACATGCTGAAAATTCCACACTTGTACCAAAAAATATTGTGTGGAGTCAAACTATAATTCAAAAATAAAAAAAATTAATTTATCTGATATTCACTTTAGGGTCATACTAATGCATGTTATCATTTCCAACCGTAACTTATTGGTATCACTGTGTTATTAATAGCAATAATTAATTTAATTTAATATTCCCATCATGATGATTATAGAACAGGATGTAAGCAAACACGTATTTTCGGTAAATTCTCATCACACTTTGCAATTACCCGCTAAAATTATTTATCATAGATATTTGAAACAGTGTGGATCAATGGAATCAAAGTTCAGGGATAGAAGCTAGTGGATAACAGTAGAGGTAATAATAGTAATAATAATAATAACAATAATAATAATAAATTCAAATGATTATACAATCTAGGTAGTCGTGAATGTGTATACTACTAGCGGTAGAAGGGAAAATAACTGTTGTCACACAGAGACCAGAGGATATATAATAGTAAATTATGAAAGATTAAAATATGCAACTATAGAGCAGTATAATATTCGTAGTAAAGTTAGCAGCACAAATAATGTTTACAGTTATCTTGTAACAACAGGAGACAAGGGCCAGGTAACAGATCGTTTATTAAGGAAATCAAAGCATATTTATATATTTTCATGTACATTATTATAGATCAGTTAAGCAAACAAACACAGTCTTCTGATTGGTTGTTTCTCACTTAAAGTTAATCTTTCATCTATTTGTGACTGTTTCTTGAATGTCAGATCATCTATATGTTAACTGTATCCCCCTACGCAAACTCTGCTCTGGTCGGTTTTGAATCAGTCTTTGTTCATATTTTCTCACGACAAATCTTGAGAAAGTAAACACTGACGTAAATTACTGTCTACTAATTTGGCTAGTAGACAGCTCTCACCACAATCTGATATCACAGGAAGAGATAACTGCTCTAGGTGGGGATGGAAGGCCATGGGAGGGAGACGGGTTAAACAAACTCTTTCTGAACACAGAGAGTGAGTTTAAAAATTATAATAGCACCTTCCTCAGCTATGCTTAACAATCTAATGTATACAAACTTAGGGAACTGAGGTGATACCCTAGACAGGCTTGTAAAGGCTGAATTTTTATCAATCTAGTGCTCCGTATCCACAAAGTGTGCCAATATGGAGCTCCTGATTGACTTTACGACTCCTTTATCTAACGACGCTGAACAGTGAATGAACTTATTTATTATTATTATTATTATTATTATGACTACTCCTATTATCATCCACTAACTCACATCCTTGAACTTTGATTTCACTGATCCATATTGTTTCAAATGTCTATGCCTAATAATTTTATTATGTAACTGTAAAATCTGATTAGAATTCACTGAAAATAAGTATTTGCTTATATCGTGTTTTATAATTCTCTAATTACTAAGGTCATGTAAGTGTAAAACCTGATGAAGTTATTAAAAAGAACATCCTTTTTTTCACTAATTAGTCAAGAAATTTTTCAAACATTTCAATCGATAATAAAACAGAAAATGAATAAATGAGAAGGATGAGAGCAAGAAGTCGTATTTATGACTTGCACCAATACATGTAATCCTTAACTTTGAACGAATGGTTGACCATTTTTCGAAAAAACACTGATAACGAAACACAATCCAAAACTACTGATCCCAAAATATAAGTGAATGTTTCGCCATATTTTTGCAAAACCGTATAAAATGAACTAGCTAATAATCAGGAGAATGTTAAGTCTAATCACCTTTGAGAGACTATTCCCTGTTTTTATTTCACCAGGAGATGCCAAAATATTTTTCTCTACTCTAGTGAGACCTAAAATCTTTCTTTACAGATCCCGGATAATTCTGACTTAAATCTTTAATGCATTCTTGGCGTTTGGTGATGATACATGAGAAATTCTCGGATTAAATGGCGTGTGTTTGAACAAGCTGGAGACCATCTTATAATAAGTAGCGTCATTTTGAGACAACACAATCGATTTTTCGGATACGTATAACGCACGCAATACTAGAGACCTAAACACTATTTACTGCTTTCTAGGAGTGTAACAGATCAAAAGAAACAGGAGGGTGGTCATCGCAAAATGTGCTTTAGTGAAGTTCAAGTTTCAAAATTGTTTATTATAGGTCAACCTTATTCAGTGGAGAGAACAAACAGTAGCATTGTTAGTAAATGCTTGGAGGCATTCGGTAGGAAGCTGTGGACCAAGGTTTCGTGCTAGTTACTAATCACCAATCAACAAAGCGTATCCACAATCTTCAAGGAACTTATGTACCTTCTCAGATTCGAACCAGCGTCATCCAGAGCTGCAGTCAGAGGTACTACTGTTGAGCTTCTCGGACTCCCGATTGACCTCCTGTAAACTCGACTGATAGAATTCAGTCTGTAGCAAGCAAAGGACTGGACGTCATTGATATGAGAATAAAACTTGTGCACTGTGGTAGAGTATAATTCCATTATGGGTAAATTTTGTTTTGATAAAGTCTCACAGTGTTATACAGTAATGTTTACTGATGACGTTTCGAGCACAATTTATTGCTCATAATCATATCAAGGTAATCACACGACTTCCTAAATTCATTTACATAGTTCCATTGTTTTTCACTTGATTTGATTGGTAGTATTATTTTCCATATTTCGGGTATGAGTGATGATTCATTCCTATTGCATGTGTTGGGTGTAGATTCGATGAACAAGGATTCAGTAATCAACCTCTCTCTCCACCTACCTAGATTACTTTTTAGAATTTTAGCCCTCTCCCACCCTATTGTGTGGTTGTGTGCTAATGCATGCATTGCAATTGCTGAGCTTTTTTCTAAATTACTTATCTTCGAGGGGTCAACCATTCTTACCTTAGCTAAATTCTTATGTTCTGACAATCTGACTACCCCTGACCTACTAGTTTGACCTATGTAATTGACCTCACAGTCATTGCAGGGTATTTTGTAAATTATATTATTTTGTCTAATTGGGTCAACTGGGTCCTTTAACCTACAGAGCTTGTCCATGAGTGAGTTTGTAGGTTTAAATGCCACCCTAATTCCCGCTTTATTTAGAATCCTACGTAGGGTCTCAGATGTCCCCTCTTTATATGGTATAACTGTAGATGACTTATATTCTCTCTTATTTATGTTATTATTACTAGTTTCACAATTCTTTTTATTTTTCTTTTGGCCTTTTTCAATCTTCCTAATGAATTTGAAAGGATAGTTATTTAACACCAACACCTCTTCTATCTGTTTTATCTCATCATTTAGGTCTTTTTTGTGCTACTTAGTGCCACTGCTCGGTTTGTTAAACACTTAACTAAGCCTGCCTTAACAGTTAAAGGATGAGATGAATTAAAGTCTAAATATCTATTAGAATGCGTTGGTTTTCTATAAACACTAGTGTGTAGTTTGCCTTCTTCTATTCGTTTTATTTTACAATCTAACATAGCTAAATCTCCTTGATCATTTTCGGCTTCAAATGTGAATTTTATTCCCTCCACTAGTGAGTTTACGTGTGTCAAGAAGCTAGAGATATGTTCTATTTTTAACACTGTGAAAGTGTCATCCACATATCTCCACACCTTCAGTGTAGCAATGGGATCCCCAATATCCCCTATCGTAGCAGATATATTTACGGATAGCTGGGAAAATATGGCTCTTAATACGTTTAATCCTACTCCAAAAATATGGTGGAGATATGTGGATGACACTTTCACAGTGTTAAAAATAGAACATATCTCTAGCTTCTTGACACACGTAAACTCACTAGTGGAGGGAATAAAATTCACATTTGAAGCCGAAAATGATCAAGGAGATTTAGCTATGTTAGATTGTAAAATAAAACGAATAGAAGAAGGCAAACTACACACTAGTGTTTATAGAAAACCAACGCATTCTAATAGATATTTAGACTTTAATTCATCTCATCCTTTAACTGTTAAGGCAGTGGTCAAATAGTAGATGGGAACAACGTTTTCAAGAGTATTCATAGCATTCCAGTGAATTTTGAGAATAGGATTAAAATTCGCTTATAATTCATAGCTGAAGCTATAGGAATGTAACAACAAATACGCAATCTGTTCCCAGAAGTGTATTCAACCTCTGCTTACCATTTGACCCAGCTTAATGTACAATTTTGTTATTTAATGTATCTAACCATTTCAGATGTCTATTATATTTGTTCACCCTTCGATTAACCTTCGTTTTTACACAAGTTTCGATTTTATAAGACATTGACCTGAATTTACTGATAAGATCACATCTACATTCTGCTTTTATTGTTGTTACCACAATGTGTATCAACTATCTTAATTTAGGTTGTTATTGATACTAATATTGACACTATTAGTGCCATTATTATCATTAATATTTATTATCTAATTTACATTTGTCACTGATCTACAATCAACTAGAGATTTCGAAAGTATACATGTATATTAATTAGGATATAGCATAAAAAACATGTACTTGAAAACACTATTGTTTGCTTGCTATTCTTGTTCTAGCTCCATAAAATAAATCTTCCAATGACAACCTCTCCTCTCAGTGCTACACCCTCCAGCAATCTGCAGTGAATATCCTTTAAGATAGATATCAAAACTAAAAGTTGTTTGGTTAGCGTACTTCAATTGACCTGATATACTTAAACCAAATACTTAACACTTAATTATATTCTGCTTAGTTGTGATATAGCACAAATCTATTGTATAAATCACTAATGCTTGTTAATTGGTTTTGGTTGGCGGCCCCAAGAACATTTTACTTACATAAAACAAATAAGAAGAAAGGGATTTTTGTGTACTGTGCCGAAATAGGGCAAAATATTGAAGATTTTTCTCTAATGGTTACTTTAGTTGGCACTCTATAGGACATGTTCAACAAGATTATAACTGAGAGAATGGCACACATTACTAATCAACTTTATAGGTTGTGTTAGGGTCTGCGATCATCGTTCACCACGTTTTGCCTTTATTTTAAAATCATAATAAGTAGTAGTGAAGGAAGGAGAACACAACCTCATTCATTTCATTTAATGGAGGCTTTTAACTTGATAACTTTACTATATGCCTGATAAAAAAATAGTGTCCTACTATATCGAAAGTGTTGTGCGTCGGTGGCACAACAGTAGAATGCTAGCCGGCCACACAGGTGGTTCGGGGTTCGATCTCCGGCCGACGAACTCCTTTACCTCGCTAAGCCAGTAATAAGACAGGTGAAGACGGAAGGTTAGACATGAGGCTAGCAACCCCATCCCGTAAAAATAAACATCACTGCTACCAAAACTCCAAGCCTTTACCTCGAAGCCCTGTGTTCCACTGGGAACGTAAAGGATTAAAAATAAAATGTCGAAAGTGTTAACAACAAGATAATGCTTTCATGTTGGGATTACAAATTTCTTACATGAACCTTTGAACGTCACTGTTCATCATATTTTTTCTATCACTTAGCAGTTCTTGGTAAAGAAATTTTCATTTAGAATCAGCCAACCAAGTGTAATGATATCTTATTGAGCTTGGAGTTTACGGCTGAGATATTATCATAAATTTGAACAAGGGTACGATGTTGAATAGGCTAATGCGTATATGTTGCCAATAAAAATTGACATTTCCCATGGTTTATGGTTTAAAAATGAAGTAAACAGATTGCAGGGGTTTAACTGTTTGTTAGTGAATTTCGACGCTGTATTTTCGAAAATTGGGATTAAGAAACATCCAGCTGCTGAGTCCCAAGTATGATGAAATGCACTGGATAGACATATAATGTCATGTAAGAAACTAGCGAATTCTATATTTTCAGACCCCGAACACCCTCTCTATACGCAGCTCTCTCCTTGCATTTCATCTGGTAGAACTAGAAGCTATATGCCAGGACTACCAAGTACAAAAACTCCACAATACCTTATCTGGCACAGCTGTTATGTGATGAGAAATCCGTTAGGTATGACACGATCAACTTACTACGGCACTCTAACAAATAGTTCCCATTAGCTTTTGTTCTCCTTTCTTTGTTACTATTATACTGCTGCTCACATATTCTATTACACACTAATTTTATATTTCATATCCTGTGGTGCATTGTGTAAACATGTGAATGCAATGCTGTTCTTTTTATTTCTTTTATTTCTCTTTTTTTTCTTTTTGTTGTTGTTGCTTTTTATTTTTAAAATCTTATAAAATTTATGAGGTAATCAGATGCAATATTGTAATGCACGCTGAAAATTCCATACCTGTACCACAAATACTGTTTGGAATAAAGCTATTATTATTAGTAAACGATAAAGAGTTAAGAAGTTAACTAGTTAAAAAAAATTATACCTGCTAAAATAATCAAATCAGCTTCACGTAGAGCAGTACGACGCGCATGACGAAATGCAAGTTTACTGTCGCGACCAAGAAGACCACGAGCCATACCAGACATGTAAGCAGGTATACGTAAGCTCTGAAAGAAAGAAAGAAAGAGTATATTTCAATACAAAGAATTATATCTTGAAACTTTATTTTTAGTGTTGTTATAGAGGTTGTATTCAGCGAAAAGTTGAAGTAATAGAAAATAACAATAACAGCAGTCAATAGATGTTACCACAAATGGATTTTATTCAGGTAACCTTTGAAATCAAAATGTAGTATAAATATAAAAGCGCAAACAGTACCTGTGTGGGAAAAACCAAGCATATTCTACAGGAAAAATCTTGATTTTCCCTTAAAACAGAAATAAAAATGTATTATAAGAATGAACTCAGAGCTATGTTGTCTTTACCTTATATATATATATAACTGCTCCTGCAGTTACATTGGAAGGACAGAAAGAAGGGCAAGTCTACGATTTTTTGAACATGTGCCAAAAAGCTTATGTCTAAAGAGAACAAATGCTTTAAACAGTGTCATCGCCGGGCATCTTCTTGGCACGGGCCATGAGGTGGACTTCACAAAATCGTTCAAAATTATCAGTAGGCAAAAGAGATCAATTCTCTTCAAGTTTGCTGAAGCCATCTCCATCAAGCGCCTGAAACCTGATTTGTGCGTTCAGAAAGAAACAGTTATCAGTCTTTTTTGCCATGGTAACTGGATATTTTCATCTCTCTTTCATCTGAATACGTAATGCCGAAAGTTTCCATTGTCTATGACCACTATTATTCGAAATAGTGTTTAATATTATATATATTACTGTATGCATATACTGATTGATTAATGTTTGTTTAAAATGAACTCTGTGTGAGTATGTTAAAATTGTTTCTGTAGATATACTTAATAGTGACTGTGGCCTGTAAGCAGCTGATGAGAAGCCAACGAAATAAATGATGATACCACTTTATTCTGCAAAAACTGTAGTTCTCGCTTTATTCAAATGCATTAAGGGGAACAAATGTATGAAATATATGCATATATGTATATATATAATATATATATATTTCATTTGCGCGGGCAAATCTATTCGTGGCCAAGTTAAGTTTAAGCTCAAATATCCAGAATATATGTTTCTTGTTCTGGGCTACGAGCTGCACTTATCGACCGTTTGAAGGCTGGTGATATTACCCAGTTGCTCAGGCTGAAGTAGTTGGAGTAGTAGTTTATCTATAAAATAACGCTTTACAATAGGTTGTTCAGACATACAGTTAACTCATTTCATTATTCTACATAGGATAAATATGATGATGAAAAAGTACTACCACTGTTCCTCTTTTTATAAAAAAAATTAAAAAACACGTTAACAGTGATTAACTTACATTAACATTAGCAGCAGTTTCCTTAGCCGAGACTGGAGGTAAAACAGCCTGACTTCCAATTAACAGTATTGGTTTCTCAGAATCCTTGATAAGCTTTACTAATTTATTGATCTGTCTTTTCGTAGGAAGAGGAATTTTTGGTGGTTTAACTTCAATGGAAGTAAGACTTCCGGAATCTGGAGATTCTGATTTTGATGTGAAACCAGCGGCGAATAACTCTAGCAAGTAAAACTGTAGGTACCTGAAAAAATATCAATAATCATGTGGGAAGGGAAGGTGAATGAAGTTTAGTACTAAGATGTTTCATCAAAATATTACATACACACTTTGACTGTCATCACGTGAAATATTAAACTCAAAGGGTTTTGACTAATCAGGTAGCATTCGATTCGGAATTCAAACCGCTGTACCAAAACTCACAAAGAAATATAAGTAGTCTTTCTTAATAAAATTATGGTTTCTTATTTAGCGCTACATGTAACTAGTGCTAGAACTTCGATTTATCTCGGCACGTTAACGATCTCACACGAATTTGTCAGTTTTTTGGAGTGCAAAAGCAATAAATACCGAGAATTGAGAAACCAATGTTAAGAAAACAGTTAAGTTAAAAGGCATTTACAGTGGGAGGTTTTAATGTTGTTAGTTTCGTAAGTATTACTTGAATTGCGTCTGAAGTGATCATCACGTCATACTATACAGAACTCAAAATTGGTTTAACATGCCCTTAAAGGTTATCAGACAATAGTAATTCAGTCTGATAATATCTGATAGTGATTGACACTTGGCAGCCGGGTATAACCAGCATACCAATGCATCGGTATTTCAGGATTTCATCATACGCTGATATCGATTAGAGATCCATTGGAAAACCTGGGAGTACTGGACGGCTGTTTCGTCCCCATTTGGGACTCTTTATCAGTACGCACCCATCGGGGTTCAAACCCAGGACCTTCCGGTTACAAGGTGAGCTAATAGACCATTAAGCCACTGTGACCCGATCCAATGACCAGACCATGAATTCCAACTTCTGCCAATTCACGATACAGCACGACCACTGGCCAATGTCATCGGCGACTATTTGCCCTCACACCCAACCGGTTGTACCCCATTGGTCATGATTTCTCACCGAAAACCCAGGAAACTATCTACCTATATAGGACCAGTCGCTAGTGAGCCTCAGATTGATATTGATTGGACCGGGTCCTAGTGGGTTAGTGGTCTACGAGCTCGCCTTGTAAATGGAAGACCCTGGGTTCGGACCCCGGTGGGTGGGTGCGTGCTGCCGATGAGTCCCAAACTAGGAAGAAACAGCTGTCCAGTACTCCTAGGTTTTCTAATGCTTCTCTAACCGATGTCAGCTAATGATGAAATCCTGAAACCAATCAAATTCCTGAAAACCAACACTTAAGTACCGGTATTATTTATTGAAACTCGAACCTAAAGTACATTACCTAAACCACTGTACATAAGATAATTCAAATAATATAGCCAACACCAACTCAAAGTGTTGGTGAAAAATGAATATCTCTGTTATCCACTAGACAACATCAATTCTTCCAGCTATGTTAATAAGGTTGAAAGTGTAAAGTATATTGATAAATTACTTTCTTAAAATGTGATTATGAGTGAATTAGAATCTCCACATATTCATTCTAATGTATGTGAATGGACTAGCTACATGCCTTAAAATTGTCAGCCATCGATAAAGCTATTAACGAAACGACGTGAACAACAAGCAAACACCGTTGAAAAGTATTAGAGCACTTCAAGTATTATATACACTCCTAAACTAATTAATACAATTCACATATATTATATATATATATATATATATATTCCTTCGAGTTATGTGTAAAATATGGGGCTGAAAGCTTTTACTCGGAATTTTCAATAACAGTAGTGTTTTAATGTGAGGTGGGATTGCTAGGCTCACACCCAACATTCTCCTTTTACTCGGCTTACTACTGGTTAAGCGAAGTTTAGCAGTGCGTCTGTCGGGAATTGAACCTGAACAACGAGCGTATTTGACGAACAGCATTCCACCACGGAAAACGACAGTAACTTCGGAAAGTTGGGATTGTCAACTAAAATCTGAACATTTTATTTTAAATTTCTTAGTTCACATGAGCAACGCCATGGACAAACTATTTTTCCAGTTTTTTTTTCTTTTTTGAAATAAGCGTTGATAAACTGTACTCACCAATTCGTAATTTTTTGTCTTATGGAATTCGGTTTCTTAGATATCTGAGTATGCTTTTCAACAAGTTTATATGGATATAATATGTCGATTGGTAATTCAACTAAAACTGGTCCTGTAAAACAAAAATACATAAAAACAATATTGATAATTGAAAGAAACAGAAAATAAATGAAGATTGTGCATCCTTATTTCGGTATGACAAGGTAAAAGTAAATAAATTGTGAATAATGATTTTACTCACATGAGATAAACTTACAAGTGAAATAGGAATAAACCCTTTATTTTAATTCATATTATCCCTTTTGCGATTATACATGAAGTGACAGGTGTTACTAAAGAGTCAGCTGACACTATAACTGATTACAATGGAAAAACTTTTTTTCTAAAACTCTTAAAATTCATTATTATTCTGAATGACAGTAAACTACAACAGAGTTACAAATTTATAGAATATACCCTAACAGTGCGCATAATGCGGAATAATAATAATAATATACTACTCATTTCCTGTGTTCCGAATACAACTGGCTTTACAACTGCCTACAAGCTTTCATTTCTTTTTCACGTGAACTTCTCAATGTCACCATCGGACGCTCAGAATGTCGCCTCCCACTAAGGTTCCATTCAAGGGGAGTCCTATCTAATTCATAGATAAATCAATATCCTACAGTCTTATCAGTGAGTTACTTATCCCCTCATATTTTCATAAACATGCTTGTTTCAGTAATATTTTACTATTCTTGATACAATATCCACAAGGTACACCTACATAATACTAACTGCCAATTTTAATTCTCGTGTATTTCAGTAAAACTTATTGATAGTTTTAAAGTGTTGTTCTCACCCAGCAGTTGGTGTTGAGAAAATAACTCAGAAATAATTCAAAACAATTAATTATGTTCGAAACATGCTCATTAAATCATCCTGTAACAACACTGAGTGCTTGGGCATATAGGAATGCAATATGAAATTGCATTTGATCACAATGCCGAAGTTTTTTTCATACATTAACTTTATGGCAAGTACAGTGACGTGTACCTGTAACAGCTTCTCTATAACATGACTCAGCTTAATATAAGATTGCTTGACTAAACCCCTAAAGTTGTATTAAATTACAACACTTTTGTAACCAATATTTTGAACATAGTGACAATTTTTTTTTACCAAAGTCAATATAGATGACTAAAAAACTCAATAGTTTACCAGGAGTATCTGATTGAGCAACACAAAATGCCTCACAAAGAACAGGAATAATGTCTTTGACAGCCTTAACACGTTTGCACAGTTTACAAAGTGGACGAAACAGAGTTAGCTGATCAATATCTTGAAGAGATCCACGACCACGCAAAAGACCGGAGGCGGCCCCAGCTAACAAAACCACAGGAGACTCAGCCATCTGTGCATTTTTCACTGCTGTCACAGTGTTTGTAAGACCAGGTCCTAAAAAGCATATAAATCAAAGAGTAAGAAAACATCGCATTAAATGGGTGGGATATCAAAATTATACATATATATATGTGCGTCGGTGGCACAGCGGTAGAGTGCTCGCCAACCACGCAGGTGGTTCGGGGTTCGATCTCCGCCCGACGCACTCCTTTAACTCGCTAAGCCAGTAATAAGACTAGTAAAGAGGGAAGGTTGGGCATGAGGCTAGCAACCCCATCCCGTAAAATTAACAACACAGCTATTGAAACCTCAAAGCTCTAGCTTGAAGCCCCATATTCCACTGTGAACGTAAAAGAATAATATATATTATATATGTCCAAACCAAACTCACTTTTAACAGTTTGAAAAAATTTGGGCATTGGGTTTATGATATTCATCATAATAACACTTGTATTTCCCAATGAATGAAAAACAACACGATATTGTTTTTGCTGACGTTTCGCTACTTAATGCTAATAGCTTTATCAAAGTATTAATAAACCGGAATTTACAAAATCTCAGCATATATTATATATAACTAAGAGTTGAGGGGGTGAGAAAATAGACTTAGGTCAAGTTAAAAGGACATATTGAAAGTCAAAATAACAATGAAGATCACTAAACTAAATAACAAAGGTAGTAGTACGCCTGTTATGATATCAAAACAAAGTTTACTAACTTGATCATCGTTCGTCAGTCTGGGGTCATTTTTCGTTGTCAAGTTGGTCAACTGGTAAAGATAACAAAATCGAAATCAAGTGTAGATTGTTGGATCTGATCAGTGTTTAAAATTATAAAGGCAGTGTGTGTTTACATAGTGAACTTGCATATCACGTTCGTGTTGATTTTGTCACTTCATGGGGGAGGGAGGTGTTGTAACCAGGTCAGATTCTGTTTTAGTCCATCATTCCTATTCAGGCAATTTGGATTCCACTTGATATGAAGTGCTTCTGATATTAGACGTTCTTTGTGATTTCTGAAGTTTTTCTGGATTATTTCAATATTGTCAAAATCAATTTTGTGGCCTGATTCTATAGCGTGTAGACCTATGGCTGATGATTTTTCAAGTTTTTCTAGTTCAACCGGATTTCTCGGTGGTCGAACAGATGCTCTACGGTATTCATCTCTTCTGATTTTGATTTCTCGAGATATTTGTCCGATGTATATCGCATCACATTCCAAGCATTTTATTTTACGGGCACAATTAGATAGAGAATCTTTAGGGATTTGGTCTTTTATATGGACAAGGTTGTTTCGTAGTGTGTCTGATGTTTTGAAGAAAACTCTAATGTCGAGCTGATTGAGTACTCTTCTGATATCATCTGACGTCTCTGCTCTATATGGAATGATGACTGTTAATGTCCATGTTTTCGGAATGTGTTTTCGGCTATATTTTATGCCTGTGTTGATTTAGTTGATGAAGTTCCTTGGGTAGTTGTTTTCTTGAGAGTTTCAGTAATGTTTGATATTTCTTCTTCTTTCTCTATCTCATGCATTATCAGAGAGTGGGCTCGTCTAAGAAGACTTGGAACAACTGATACCTTTGTGCTGATGGGGTGTGATGATTTGAAGTCTAAATATTTATTTGAGTAGGTTTTCTTCCTGAATATGGATATATTAAAATGTCCGTTTTCCCTTCTCTTAACTTACCATTTCTAGACTGCCTAGTTAAGAGAAGGGAAAACGGACATTTTAATATATCCATATTCAGGAAGAAAACCTACTCAAATAAATATTTAGACTTCCAGACATCACACCCCATCAGCACAAAGGTATCAGTTGTTCCAAGTCTTCTTAGACGAGCCCACTCTCTGATAATGCATGAGATAGAGAAAGAAGAAGAAATATCAAACATTACTGAAACTCTCAAGAAAACAACTACCCAAGGAACTTCATCAACTAAATCAACACAGGCATAAAATATAGCCGAAAACACATTCCGAAAACATGGACATTAACAGTCATCATTCCATATAGAGCAGAGACGTCAGATGATATCAGAAGAGTACTCAATCAGCTCGACATTAGAGTTTTCTTCAAAACATCAGACACACTACGAAACAACCTTGTCCATATAAAAGACCAAATCCCTAAAGATTCTCTATCTAATTGTGCCCGTAAAATAAAATGCTTGGAATGTGATGCGATATACATCGGACAAATATCTCGAGAAATCAAAATCAGAAGAGATGAATACCGTAGAGCATCTGTTCGACCACCGAGAAATCCGGTTGAACTAGAAAAACTTGAAAAATCATCAGCTATAGGTCTACACGCTATAGAATCAGGCCACAGAATTGATTTTGACAATATTGAAATAATCCAGAAAAACTTCAGAAATCACAAAGAACGTCTAATATCAGAAGCACTTCATATCAAGTGGAATCCAAATTGCCTGAATAGGAATGATGGACTAAAACAGAATCTGACCTGGTTACAACACCTCCCTCCCCCATGAAGTGACAAAATCAACACGAACGTGATATGCAAGTTCACTATGTAAACACACACTGCCTTTATAATTTTAAACACTGATCAGATCCAACAATCTACACTTGATTTCGATTTTGTTATCTTTACCAGTTGACCAACTTGACAACGAAAAATGACCCCAGACTGACGAACGATGATCAAGTTAGTAAACTTTGTTTTGATATCATAACAGGCGTACTACTACCTTTGTTATTTAGTTTAGTGATCTTCATTGTTATTTTGACTTTCAATATGTCCTTTTAACTTGACCTAAGTCTATTTTCTCACCCCCTCAACTCTTAGTTATATATAATATATGCTGAGATTTTGTAAATTCCGGTTTATTAATACTTTGATAAAGCTATTAGCATTAAGTAGCGAAACGTCAGCAAAAACAATATCGTGTTGTTTTTCATTCATTGGGAAATACAAAAACCCTTATTATAATGAATAATATAACTGTATAAATATGAAAATAGGTGTGCATATTGTCGGACTAGGCACTTAACTTCCAAGATATGTCTTCAATCTTAAACTCACTTTAACGTGACTTGATTATCTGCATAACATTACAAGTCAAGGATTATTTAGTGTTTATAACGTAGTTAATAAACTTTTGCGCAGTGAGTATGCTATAGGTTCGAAAACTCACAGAACCCAGGTCAAGTTCACATAGTGTGACGCCACCGATTGATGACACACTATGTCAACAACCAAAAAGAATTTACCTCAAAAATAAATCTATTCACCAACGTTATTACAACCTTCTACATGCCAACATTTAGACACAAATTTCCAAGATATCTGACATAACCTAAGGCATGATGAAATAATACCAGTATCGTCTTTACAGAGTGAAAACTGTCAAGTTGTACATATGGTGACAAAAGCAATAATTATGTCTGTACTATAGCAATGTTATTAAGAACTCATAACTCGGCAAAAAGATCTCTTTTCGTAGCTTCATTTCAAAGCTGTATGGTTACTTAGGGTTTTACATACAATGTTAATTGTCAACAAAGGTCAAAAGTTATTGTCAGTTTGTAACAAAATAAGTCAAAAAGTATGGAAAATAATGTGAGAAAAATAATGAATAATCCTACGTTAAGTGATAAATAATCTTTAGAAAAAACGGATAAGAAACAAGTAAACAAAGATGTGCAGCAGTTTAAGTTGCCACAATTCACTCAGCACACAAAGCCAGAGAAGAAAGTAGGAGAAATGCATATTAGAGACAGTAAACAGGGATATGAGATAAAAGGAATAGTAATAACGAAGAGCAATATAGTTTCACTATGTATTATAAGTCACAAGGAGTGGATGCATCTGCACCATCACCGAGAACGATTTTGAGCTATATCACCAATTGTCTCCAGCCTTCATTGGTTTTTACCATCCCGAGGACCCCAACCAGGAAGTCTACACCTTCCTACGTGGCTTAAACTAACTGTTGTGGATTTCATTGACTGATGAAGCCACGTATTCGTTTGACCACCAGTGGCTCTTTTTCAACCTGAAGGCACCTGTCAGCTAACACTGCTTATCGAGGAAGGCGATGGCTAGGCATGCGTAACACATGTCCTAACCGTCTCAACAGATGTAACTTTACAGTCTCGTCTATTGATTTTCCTTCCTTGCCAAGCACTCAACGCTTAATTTCAGTATCGCTCACTCTATTATACACCTTCACACGGGATATGGAATGCAGGCATCTATGATCAAAAACAGCTAACCTTTTCATGTCTTTCACTTTCAATGGCCAGGTCTCACAGCCATAAAGGAGGACAGAGCGAACTCCTGAGCAGTACACACGCCCTTTGGTCGATGGCGGGATATCACGTCTACGCCAGAGACGGCATAAACTGGCATATGTCAAAGGAGCCTTCTGTATCAGTGCTGAGATTTCGTCAACGATCAACCCGTTGGGGCTGATGCAACTTCCCAACTAAGTGAAGTGGTCAACGCGATCTACCATTTCACTCACTATTTCTAAGCTGGGAGTCAGTGCAGTCCAGTCCTGTAGCATCATCTCAAATTTGGCAGAAAGAATCGCATGCCGAACATTCTCAAATTGCAGCTCAATATGTTTAGAAGACTCCGCATTTTCTCAGCGTCTTCGCCTAGAAGGACTATATCATCAGCATATTCTACGTCAACGACATTCCTTGATGGTAACAAGCCAGTCCCTGAGTTGCTGAAGTGAGTTAGGATTAAGTCCATTAGTACATCTATGATGAAATTAAATAGAAAGGTGGACAGTGGTCAGGCATCCCTGATGGACACCACTAGTTGACACCACTTCAGATGACAACTCTCCATAAGCTCTTACCTGAGTTATGAAATAAAAAACGAAAAACTAAAATACTACATTATTATACAATAATTACGGGAGATAAAACTGACACTAAGGCCACGATAGTTAAAGAGACTGATAATAATCTCTAACTCTTGTTAATTAAGACTGTATATGAGCGTCAAATGACAAGTAAGCTAGTTACGCTACTTCTCTACTCTGAATAGGGAAACTTAGGAAAGCAAGGGCCTGAAAAATGCACATCCCCATTAACTTAAAGTGGTCTGTAGCCACACGACAAAGTATACTAGGTGTGTGTGTAGTTCCATGCTGACATACGAATAAAGAACGTAACTTACTTAGTTTTACTTAGCTTAAGATTATTATTATTGCTTCTATCAAGATTACAACTGCTACTGTTTACGACCCACCTAACTTGGTTGAAAATTATGAATGAAATGTTTTAGACCTGTCCCAATATAATACTGTTACACAAAGCTATTCCTAATAACAATTGATTCATACTTAGGTCTCATAAACCCCTTATATATATATATATATATATATATATATATATATATATATTACTTCTAGTTGGAATATTCGTCTCATGTTTTCACGAGTTCATTCAATAATCCTTCAGTGGAAAACACCTGCTTACCTGCAGTAACAACAGCTACACCAACTGAACCAGATAGCCTTGAGACAGCATCAGCGGCGAAAACAGCTGAAGCTTCATGCCTTACATCTATCACTCGTATATCTTGCTTTTCAGCTGCTGTTAGTATTGGTGATATATGACCTCCAATGAGTGTGAAAATAAACGGTACATTGTGTGCCTAAGGAATTATTACTTCAACAAAATGTTTACCTTCAATACATCTGCAACTAGTTCCCCTCCATAATGTTCAGAGTTCTTATCAACCTGAATAGTAAGAACCCAAGAAAACCTTGATGCTTACCTCAAAGCGAAAATACCTACGCAAACCCTTAAAGAAGAAGAACAATCCAAAAGCTAAAAGCGATCCAGTTGTTACAAATATCATCCTACGATCATATCTGAAAAAAATACGAGTAAGATGAGTAGAAGTAATCGTGAATACCTAATAGAAAGATAAGGGATGCATATCACTTTTATGTTAAAAAGTAATTGAATGAACTTAAAGTACACAATATTTCCAAGCTTTAAACTAATCCAATGGATTAAAAAATATATTGGCCATGTGGTAAATGGTAATGGCTAACAACAAGGCGAATTGTTCCCCATACTTTGACGTCTACTGAATAGGACACTTAAGCGAATAAATGTTACTAAAGTAGTAATATTAAGAACTGTATTATCCATCTCATACTAACATATTTCAAACTGAGAGGCTGAACATAGACATGCACTGTGATTTTGACAATAACATTAAATTGAGAAGAATAAGAAGTTCAGCAAAGATATCTTTTCGGCGATTCCATTTTCAAAAGCTGTACAATAGCATTTAAGTACATAATTTTACATGGAGACAATTCTTGTTTGATTCTACATAGTTATGACGGCGAATAAAAGGTGATAATTATTTCCAACATTAAACCAGAGCTTGTTTGAGATTAGAGATAGACGTGTTGAATAACTGGAAGCAAAGGAGTAAACAGTGGCATAATGCATATGAACTATAAAATATACCACTCATAGAAACTTCTTGACAGGTGTAAATAGTAAGCTGATAAATAGTTTTACATAGAGTTGCATTGAAACGTGGACAGTTAGTGCTACATGATAACGATGGTAAATGCCTTTAGTCGGCTATATCGAATGACTACTTCAGTACTTCGAGTATAATAAAGTTCAGAAAGAAATATTTCTTTCTAACTGACTAGTTATGAAAGGATATATATCGAGATATGGCATTTTTAAATGACTCATTTGCTAGCTGGCTAAGTTGATTGCATTAAGAATGATAAAACTCGATTACCCAGAACAAATTCTTCCGTACTGTGTTATAAGCTACACATGCAGCATGAGGTCTGGTGATGCCACCGAACTGCCTAGGCTGAAGCAGGCAGGCTGGCAGTCGAGTCGAGGACCTACTCAGATTCAGATTCAGATGTTATACCGATAGGCATTTAAGCCAATGAATCGGATATGGAAAAATATGAATAAACATAAGGATGATAAAAGGTTGTAAATACGTTAAGGAAAGTGGTAATTACAAATTATAGATATTTGCGTGCACGGCCAAATTAATGGAAAGTTGTGCATACCCTTTCTATACCGATAAATTCCACTGTGCGCAGAATACAAACTACAGTTCGAGTATACCTTAGAAGGTAATATAGCTAATATAGACTTCATATTACGTTTAAAAAAGTGTAAGAGGACAAAGTTGTATATTGACGTTCACTGCTTTTTTACTTGTGTGTAGTGACAGAAGAGAGCGGCACAAATGGCTTACGGAGAGGCTGAGCACTTGAAGGTCACTTGTGTACATTGTGATTGATAGATTTTCCTTTGCGTAAACGTTGCGGCTAATACGTAGTGCACGCTACTGAGGCGGGCTCTGAAATGATAATTAGATGACCAGATGGAGGTCATGTAGTCGACTATATAGAATTTCACCAACTCTGATTGTTCTCTCCCCTTTTCACATATTAGGTGTGCCTAAGATAATGAATTGTTTACCAGAAGTAAAATCAATTCACCTGCTATGTTTACATCCCCATATATTTCTCAGTGCAGCCGAAGGTATTCAAAGGGACACAAACTCAATCTTTGCTTGAAAAGACCATATCCAGTTTCTCCGAATGGACCTGGGGGTGATGAAAACGGAAAAGACTAGTCCAACACCACAACCAACTGATGCGAATTGATCCATATCTAGTGGATAGAGTGATTAGTAAACTTTATAATGACTATAGTTTAATCCGGATGCGTATAACATTCATGATTGCTAGGAAAATAGCCGTTGAACATTTGTTCGTACTGTAATAACGAAATATAACCTGGCAAACGTAGGTTCCAACGTGCACGACTTGTATCGATAGTCTAGGCTCTTCAAGTACACTACACAACGTATATCCCATTTATCACAAATAGTCCATTATTCTTATGTTGCGTTTAACACCACTATCTCAGAGGAAATAATTAGGTAATAAATAGATAACTACATTACGCTTCTTGTGTTATCATTTCTTATCAGTAGGCTCTTACATGACCACATCAACACTCAGACCTATGTATTGGTTGACCACGTCACTAAGCTTCGCCGGTTGTTTTGCTGTCATAAAATACTGCAGCTTATTACATAGGCTTTTGTTGCGCACATAGCCTGTTTACAGCTTACCAACGGAAGCATTTACTGACAAGAAATAATGTTACCTCATCATGCTCGAATTCAACCACGTGTAAATATGACATTCTGCCCATATTACTTCTTCTAATTTGGCATCACTATTCAACTCGAGAAACAACAAGTTTTATAGATGAATATAGCGAAAGCTTTTCAATTTATTTATTACAATAAACACATTCACTATGTCAAAAATATTTCATCATTTACAAGCATATTATCCAATTCAACTTCATTAGAATGTCTAAATGAGGGGTGGCTTTATTGCATTTCCCCTTTAATTGTAGGTTCTTTGTCCATTGCTATGCTGGTTTAATGGCAAGTTAGGCTTTTGTATGCTTTCTAAATGAAATTTCGCATTAAAAAATTTTCTGGCGCACATAACATTGGTATCACAGTGTACTTTTGCTGCACTTGTATCGGGAAATATCTCTTGATACTGATATCTGAGAGACGTGATGGATTAAATAAGGTAGGAGGTTCAAAATTTAAACGAATATTTTTAGATTTTAATGGAATTATACTGGTATATTCGGTCTATTTTTTAAAACGCCATTGTCTTAATTGGTTTGGTAGTTTTTGGCATTCTTAGCTCAATTTCAGCATTAATTTCAGTTTTCATATACTAATATCAGTCAGTTTTTCGTTTTTAGACAAAAAGCGTTAGCACTATGGTCATAATATGTGGCATTGTTGTGAACTTGTGTTTCAACTGGCCTTTATTTTGAGGGAAGATTTAATTGCTATTATATTCCGGTTTCATAAACATAACTTGGGCTCATACTGAAAAGAATATTATTTTCTTGGCTGAAATAAGGACAGGTTGTTCAGCAGGTAAGGAAGACCTTGTTTTTCAGTTTATTCGTCTAAATACTATGGCGCATCGAGTTGCGTTGCTATTCCACATGAATGCCTTGCCCTCTCCTCTGCATAAGAAAGTTGATAACGCAGGAATTACTTCACAAGACTCTCCATATTAAGTTCAGTAGAGTGAAATAGAAGTTTTTCCGCTTCAGTGTTTTCAGTTAATTTGTGAACTGTGTAGGCTTTCATAGTAATACATTCATCAGGGAGACTTCATATTGAAATCGGAAGTGTACACGTTTTACTAAATATTATGCACTTCCCGTGTAAATTTGATCTTCGTCAAGTGGTCATCTAACAGTTACTGAATGTTGCAATTAAGCTGAAATTATGACATGAAATTCCGAGAATTGTCATTTTCACAATCTGTTGAGTTTACACAACCACAACGCCCACTTTTCACTTTACTAAGGAAACATTAACTAGGTTTTTTGAAAAGGCAGTGCGTCATTTTGTGAATTCCACGAATGCTACAGAATACATTTGGTTCACTTAGTATCGAAACTAAACTATGAGGGAACTCATATTTCCAAGAAGGATGTAACACAAAGCTCGTTTCTACAACTGCCGTCTTATTTTAGTTCAATTTATCACACATATTTTAATAAAATTCTCCGTCATTGACTTAAGGGACTTACCAGAGAACAGTTTCGCCAATTTAGAGCATGTTGATGATATTGTCCACCCTGGTTGCGAGAAGTGACCATTGAATCTGGGCGATATGAAAATACCACTGGTGTATGGTTTTAGGTGTCTGTTTCCTATCCTCTGTATAAGTAATACAATATGGTGGGTAATATTGGGGTTGAGCATTAGTGTTAGGTTGAGATGTGATTCCAAATCTTTGTCAGTGACAAAGATGCACTCACGCTGCGTATTCTCACGTATCCAATGAACCCATATGTTTTTTACTTGTCTTTACTCATCCTCCCTCATATTTATGCTGATTAGAGTTCCATTTAATTTTTTCTATACCTTTGTATACTACATGGAATGTAGTAACTTAAACAGACGCACTTGTGTGCAAGCCTCTATGCTGAAAGTCAGTCAGTCAGAATGACATATAGTCTAGGTATAACGAAATGTTGAAAAGTGGATGAAAATCACCGAATTGTCAACAAATGATAATCGTAAATTTTTATTAGGTTCTTGTCTAAATGAATAAAGAGTTATCTTACAATAATTTCTCCTCTTACCCAAAATAACTTTCACACTCTGTCTTGTCATATCTCATGAGTTTGTTTATTTTATCCCATTACCTAAATGCTAAGTCAAAACACATTTGATGAAATATGTTTTGCTTATTACAAACTAAATATTATACTTTTTTAATAATAATAATTTGCTTTATTCCAGAAACAGTACTAGTGGTACAGTGTTGAATTTTCAGCACATATCAACAATATTTGCATCTAATTCTATCAAACATTTAAAAGGAGTATTTCAAAAAATAAAGACGCCAACAGCAAAAAAACAGGAAAAACACAAAACAGTTTAAAAAATGCGAAAAAATACCACGAACTATAAAGGAAAATAAACAGCATATAATAATAGCTCGGTATTGGGTAATGGAAGCTATGATATGATTATGCGTGGTGACAGTAAAGCTATAGTCATACAAGAAGTTATGAAATGATATTTAAGAATGTTTATCGCCAAGAAGATCAGTAAATTTGGTTGAAACAACACTAAACAACCACAAAATAACATTTCAGGGTTGTTGTTTTGTTTTTTATTGTCAGGTCTAATGCAGTGTTTGTAGTGGTAGTGTGAGTAATCCTGCATAATACAAAATTTTAAGATGGTGATAATGGCTTTCACAACCAAGATTGTCAGTTAATATTGCCGAACAAAAAAAACAAACAACAACCACAAAAACTAATAATTACATGATGGTTAATGACAGGACAATTTTGTACTACTCATAGTGCTAATATAGTCGGAACCAGTAGATACACAATAGAAGGAATAAAGTACAAAAAAGTAAGCTAATGTTAATAATTTAGGTAGCTTAGTATGTTAAGGAAGGAGTTCACAATGGAGTACAAAATAAGAGAGAAATGAAAGAGCCTAAAATTATGATTATTAACAACAAAGCAAGTCATAGGTTTCGCGCTTAACATTGTCTCTGTTGCTTAGAACACGGGCCAAGTATGGTATCGTTGAGTTCCTGTACTTGGTTGTACGAGCATAGATTATTTTATACTGATTTCTGGTTCCACTTGATGAGATACAAGGAGAGAGTTGGGAATAGAGGGGGTTGGAGAGTATGGTTTTAGACCATTTTTCGCATGTATTCAGATGCCTATCAACTAATGTAGTGACGAGCTGACTGAGTTTTACACCATTAGTCCTACTAACTAGCTTCAACATCCTTCTCAGGATGGTATAGTCAAGTGTGTAACGCAACAAATCGAACTGCTGCACTTCTGTGCTGAGTTCTACGTTAAAACTCATTCTGTCAGCATTTGTCACTGCAGCTGCCTGGTGCCAGAACTAATTACAGTGTTGATTGGCTTAAATAATTATTGATACCGTCTCCTAAGCGTTGTGTGCATTTTCCGGATTCCTCAAATTGTCCGGGTAAAGTGCACCTAAGAATAAACCATGAGGCAAAAGTCAGTAACACGGACATAAGAAATTACGTGAATAGAAGTGAATGAGGTGAGTGATTTTTTATCTCTGTAGTACGCTTATCTAAAATACTTATCTAATGCATTACGTGCCTCCTAATTGTTCCATTTTTGTCTTCTTCATTGCAGATTATCAGTCTTCGTAGACATTCCACTAGATGTCGTCACACATAGTGTCTGCAAGCAGTCTTTCAATACATCCACCTCCCACAAAGTTGTTGGTATGAAGCTTTGAGACTATTCACTTCCGGCCGTAGTATAATTAGTACGCTTACATTACTGATGCAATTACATGCAAGACTTGTACATGTTACTGTGAAGTTTGCCTTTAATAACATTCCCTCCACAGTAAGTACAATACTCTTGATAACAATTCTTCATTATCTTTTCATTTAGTTGATAGGTGTGTATATGTTAGCAAAAAGCTAACCTCGTCGTATCAGTCCTCTAAAATACTTTCACTAAGTGCCCATACTTCTGCTTGGTACCAAGTGCTACTCTCGCTCCATGAAATACTTTCTACTGCATTCGTAAATAACTATCAAACTATTATTATATGGAGTAGTGAGACAGAAGGCGTATGAAATTTAGATGTTAATGTGCATCTGAAGTTACTGGCACAATATATATGTACATGTTTCCTTTCCAAACTAGAAAATTTTATAGA